GCACTGACTGAAGAACTGCGCCCATATATCGAAAGGCAAACAACAAACATGAGGGCACCAATTGATCCACTGAAAAGGGTTGCGTTAGTACTGTATTACCTGAGCGATGGGGGAAGGATGCGGAAGACTGCTAACGCCTTCGGTGTTTCGCGCCCGGCTTTGTCCGTCATTATTAGGCAGACATGCAGAGCGATCTCCATCCACCTGGGTCCAAAATACATCAAGCTGCCCTTTACTGAGCCCGAGACCGCGGATCTGGTTGAGGGCTTCGATCGTGCTCATCGCATGCCACAATGTTTAGGAGCAGTGGACGGAACCCACATCCAAATCAAGCAGCCATCTAGCAACTCCACTGACTACATCAACAGTAAAGGCAAATATTCCCTTAATGTACAGGCCGTCTGTGATTACAAGTACCAATTCATGGATGTCGTGGTAAAGTGGCCTGGGAGTGTGCATGATTCACGGGTATTTGCTAATTCAAAGCTAAACATGTACTTAGAGACTGGAAAGATCCCTGCTCTGAAAAAACAGATTGTGGACGACGAGGAGGCCATACCGATTTTTCTTCTTGGTGATCCTGCCTACCCGCTGCTGCCGTACCTGATGAAGGAATATGCATCCGGTGGCGCCACAGTTCAGGAACAGTACTTTGGCCTAACTTTGTATAGTGCACGTATGGTCATTGAGTGTGCTTTTGGTCGCCTCAAGGCCAGATTTGCTGCACTTAGAAGGCCTATGGACATAAACTTGGATGACCTGCCCCATGTCATTTACTCCTGCTTTGTCCTCCACAATTTTTGTGAGGCCAGTAAGGAGGCTGTGGATGATCAGTCTGTGTTGGGAACAATACAAGGGGAAAAGGACTTCCAGCCTCCCACACAGTGCAATAGATATCTCACTGACTGTAATGAGGGGGAGGGAGAGAGGGTGAGGAGAGTGCTTACGGCGTACATTGACTCTTAGGACTACATGGAAGGTTTTTATTAAGATCTGATAAACATTCTTTGTTACATTCACTGTCCTCCTTCCGCGACAGGCTGCTGCACCCCCGCTGTTTTATACCTGGCTGCTAAATCGAACTGTTACAGGATGTGTATTTTATCAATTGTGTAACTTTTTATTTTGTATTATATCCTAACTTTTTTTTTAACTCAGTACCTTTTAATGCATGTAACATTAATTGATTCTCCAATGTTCAAAGTGTGAAATTAAAAATAAAATTGGCTGCAACCACTTCCAGACTTTCTTTGAACATAAAGTGCAACAAATAACAAATGTGCAAACGCAGTATCATATATATATATTTATACTTTCCCATAAGGACCCAATGTTACACGGGTGTCACATGAACTTTAATGTTCTGGAAAGTTCCTTATACAGCTTTAGCCTTTATTTTATCTCATGAAGTCCCAGTCTGGTGGGTCATGGTCCAGGTCATGTGATTTTGTGTTCCCATAACAATATAATAATAACATTTGGTCAAATTGATATGAGACAAACATCAGACTTTAACCCTAAACTTTCACAGTAAACCCAAAGTGACATATATGCACAATTAGAAATATGATTATGATCGGCGCAGTTAATTTAGCTGATTCAATTATATTTAGTTAATATATTCTTTATTCTTCAAAGAATGTTCAAACTGATTTAAACCAAAAAATCATCCATTAATTAGTTATTTTATCATTAAAGCCCAATGTGACATATGTGTCACTTCAGATATTTCACACTAGGGGGCGTTACTTGTCAGAAATGTGGTCTATTTAGTCTTAATTATGTATGTATCTATATTATTGTATTATAATTATTGATGGATTAATGTGCTCATCACCTTAATGTTGCAGCTGGTAAAGGGGGAGCTGATTTAAATTACATGATATACTGCTGGGTAGCTTGTGAAATTTACCCTGGGATCAATAGCATTTCATCTTAACCTATAATAATATAAGATTCGATTTTGTAGTATTCTGAATCTTCAAAGTTACTAAAGTTATCAAATAAATGTAGCGTAGTATAAAGTACACTATTTGCCTGAATGGGAGTGGAGCAGTACAGTACTTAAGTAAATGTGCTTTGTCTACCGCTGTTCATTGTTCAAGATTGAAATGTAAATTTACAAGACGGTTTTCTGCCCCTCTATTCACATGTAGCCTTTCATACGTGATGGTTTCTTCATTCTCGAACTGTTGTGGAGCAGAAGTATAAAGTTGCAGGATTAGTCTCAAGTACCTCAAGATTGTCCTTAAGTACAGTGCCTAAGGAAATGAGCTACTGTCGACCACTGTTCATTGTTCATTTACCTATTGTGAGTCGCCTCGGATAAAAGCATCACATGGAAATGTAAATTTAGCAAGAAGTGGCCATTATTCAGATGGGTGTTTCTGCCCCTCTGTTCATTCTCCCATTATCCTCCACAATCTGCCCAGAAGTATTTTAATGTTGGAGCTGTTCAAGATGGTCATTTTAAAATGTGTTAAAAATATACTGTACATGAAAGACAAGACTGTTATTTGTTTTGCAAGGTTTTTTATTAAGAACAAGGTCTACACATGTTTACAGTCAAAGGAAATAAAACACCTTGGCTAGCAAAAAAATAATAAAATATTCAAACTGTGGAATAAAAAATCAAATTGGCTGCGTCCACTTCCAGACTTTCTTTGAACATAAAGTGCAACAAAAAACTGAAGCTCAGTGCTTTATCAGTCCTCTTGAAACAGTGACTGCCTGTATGTAATGTAATGTAATGTAATGTAATGTATGAAGCAGAGTTTGTTCTTGGTGTGTAGGTCGGTGTAGGCGGGTGTGGCCTTCTTTGCATGAATGGTGATGATTGCTCCTGGAAATGTCCATGTCCACCGCTGTTACTGTGGGGGACTGGGGGTGTGCATGAATTAAATCCCTCATCAGGGAAAAGCCATCCCGAATAGTGGCATTCATCTGCTGCATGCCGTCTGCGTTGCGGATGGATGTTTGCTCCTTTAGTTCCACCATCCTCTTTTTTATTTTGAGGTCTTCCTGCACTGCATGGTCAGCAGGAAGTTTCCTCTTCAGCCATCTGACTAAGTTATAGCAGCACACACACGTACAGAAAATCAATATCCATTATTTAATAATGCAATGTACTGATCCAACCGGTTTCACGGGCCTCATCCGTGGCCACAAGAGCATCGCCACGACAACAAGAATAACAGATAAACTGCTGGTGTGCTAATTGAATGCGCGTATATGTGTGTGTGTGTGTGTGTGTGTGTGTGTCTGTGTGTGTGTGTTAAATGTTACTAATATCAGCAATGCATCTTGGGTTACACAGCGAGTGGAAATTGTTGTGGATTGCTCACAGGCTATTTGTCGTTGAGCTGAGTACTTTGTAACTGTCAGTTTCAGTCTGACAAAGAGATAGAGATTTTAGGCTGTATGTGTTTTGGCTAATACAGAACATCGTTGCTGTGCAGGCCTGCAGGATAACATATGACACCCAAAAGTACCAACATTTGCTTTGATGGCAGCGCTGTCTGCAGACCTGTGCTGCGAACATAACTCTTTTACAACTCCTCTCACTTTTCTTCACTACACAGTAGGGGACCAGGTGTTTGTGGCCTGTGTCTATGAAGCCGTCTTATTGTCCCACCCACATTGAGGATGCTTCCTACGCCCATGAGTAGGCCTATAAGAAACAAATAACATGTACATGATTAAAAGCCAAATTAGCATTTTAGGCATCAAATCATTTTATTTACCTTTCATGTCATGCTGTGACGTAAACTCCCCTTCTGGGAATTATGAAACTGTGTGGACAGCTACTACTCAAGTATTTGAGAAGAAAGGCATTTGTTTAATATTATACATTTTAAATAGTTCACATAATAGCATCTCCAGAGCCTTGTTAATATTGTCCTTATAAACATTTTTATCTTATGTTTAAATGACTATTTCATGAGTAAATAATCCACACAACCCGATAGCATTATTTAAAAATCTTTATTTGTTGTCATTATAGAACATTAAAGAACAAAATCACAGTGTATAACTCTTAAGTGCAAACAAACAATGTAATAAAAAAAATAAAAGTATTTGATTAGCTCTACCTACCCGTCACATGGAAATGTATACTGCAAACAAAAGGTTTCTGAACAATAAAAAAAGAATGTGCAACACAATATTTGTCAGCAGGTACAATCTGCTCCGAACAGTTTCTACTTAAAATCATAGGAATTAGAACATATCTTTATAAGCATCTCCCTTTTTTTAAGACCATATGTTTTATTTCAATGCTAAATGACACATGAATAGAGTGCCACAGTGACGCGTCCTAAAACCCGGAAGTAAACTCCTTCCGGTTCCTTCGACAAAAACCAATGCAATTTCTCCATAGGATTTTGGAAAACAGCTGGAAATAAGGTCTGTGGTTGAGACACATTTAAGAGACAGATCACGTTTTGTTCAGCCAGATAACATCCACATGTCTACCCTACTTTTATCATTTTCTAATCATAAATCTATCTATTATTTTCCAAAATCCTATGGAGAAATTGCATTGGTTTTTGTCGAAGGAACCGGAAGTGGTAAAATGCTAACTTACTTCCGGGTTTTAGGACGCGTGGCTCTCTATTGTGAAATGGGCATCTTGACTTCCTGAATCGCGCTTCGTTGTTGAACATTTGCTCATAAAGACGCCATTTTTGTTTTTCTTCACATCAACTGTAAAGCCTGAGGTTTCCGTCAGGCTGCAGAACTACAAGCCTCAACATTTGACACATTTCACAACCATATCACCAAACCTCGAATGGGGAATTTTCAGAGAGCTCTGTGGCACTAGGACTGCATATAAAGTCAGGACTGTACTGCAATGATTTAAATTCATGCCAAATAAGGATTTATATACAGTACACGTATAACACTGCTTAATTCTAACTTTTTTTAAATTCTTTTAAACCAGCAGTTTTTTTATTTGTATTTGTTTTGAATTACATTTAATAAAAGAAGCCAGACAAAAATGCATTTACTGATGTTTTAATCCACCTTCAGGTACGTCAAAAAAGCTCTCCTCTCATTGGACTACAGCCCTCTCTGTGCTACAAAGCTTTCAGAAAATTACTTAAGAGGCCAGGCAATTTCTTAACTGCCCTCTCGACCATCTAGGCAATGTGGTTTGTGAATGCACTGTGCACGCAGAGAGAAATCACTGCAGTAATCAATAACATCACAGATATTTCAGCGATTCTCATCTTGTTGGTTTTTGTTTCTTGTACAAAAGACTCTCTTGTTCCACATGGCAGCCATCCAGCAGAGTCAAGCCTTGGAAGCGAGAAAACTTCCTTGCCAACAGCGAGTAAGCCAGTCTCATGTGAGTATACTGCTGAAAATAAACGCCCTCTCCTCTTCAGCAACTCTTGATATTTGCTGTGAACTGTATGGTATTAATGGAGCACTGTCAGCATGCAGTTTGTTACAGAGCCTGTGTTTCTGGGTGCATTAGCTGCTGCACGACCAGGTCTATATTAATGATGGGACTGAAGTACAGAGCCCAGTAGAAGAGGCAGTTGCACACAAACTGAGGGAAAAAAGGCCACAGGAGGGCGAAGGCAAACCCCTGAGATAGCATCTTCCACAAGTGGTTCCACATCTTGCGTGGCATAGCCCTATGGAAAGAGGAACATAGAAGTTAGTGTATAAAGTCTTCTCCACCTCCGAAACTGACCCACCTATAACTTCATTTGTAGCTTTAAGAGAACATAGTATGCTTATTTTCAGGTTGTATTTTGTGCTCCTACTGTGACATGTTTACATGCTTTAATGTTCAGAACGTGTTTTATTTTTCTCATGCTGCAGCACTTCTTTTCACCCTGTATGTAACCAGGACGTAATCTACTCTTTTTCCAAGTGTCCTTACACACGAGAGGCGACTTAAAATGTATTTAAAAACATAAAAAGACAGAACATAAAACCCCCTGCCAAGTGTTTAGATAGATAGATAGATAGATATAGATAGATAGATAGATAGATAGATAGATGGATAGATGGATAGATGGATAGATGGATAGATGGATAGATGGATAGATGGATAGATGGATAGATAGCACTTTATTGATCCCAAATTGGGAAATTGTTGTTGTTACAGCAGCATAAAAGGCATTTTACAATAAAACAAAACTACAAAATATACAAGAATAGAAAGAAAAATAAAATAAAATATAAAATATACATGTCGAAATAGAAAATATACATGCAGATATTATATATATATATATATACAAATATATATATATAAATATTCAAAATATATGGAATATGGAGTATAAATATTGAACAGATTATAGAGTAAAATGTGTTTACCTGATGCTGGCTCTCGCCCAGAGTCTCCACAGTGCGCAGCCCTCCAGCACGGACAGCAGCATGGCGTTCACGATGATGAAGCGAGACGTCCAGTAGTGCACGGCCAACCAGTCCCAGGCAAACTCTGCTATCAGCTGGTATGGGAGCAGGAGGTACTTCACAAGAAACTCTCCCCACTGCCGCCAGCTGGGCTCCATCTGACAAACACAGAAACATCATATGAAACAATTAATGAATGTTAAACATACGAGTAGAAATCAATTGTACAGTAATTAAATATCCTGCATTATATTTGTTACAGGTAATTTGTATTTCCACTTGTACATTTTCCACATGTATATATTTTTTACTTTTTAAATTTGTAATGCTATTTTATTTCTATTTCTGAAATATTTTGGAATGTTTATTTCTTGTGTCTTAATTTCTCTTATGTACATTGCCTTGTATTTTTTATGCTGCTGCAATGCAAACATTTCCCAAATTGGGATCAACAAAGTATCTATCTATCTAACTATCTATCTAACTATCTATCTATCTAACTATCTATCTAACTATCTATCTATCTAACTAACAATCTATCTATCTAACTAACAATCTATCTAACTAACAATCTATCTATCTATCTATCTAACTATCTATCTATCTATCTATCTAACTAACAATCTATCTAACTAATCTATCTATCTCTCTCTCTCTACTATCTATCTATCTATCTTCTCTCTATCTCTCTATCTATCTCCATCTATCTATCTATCTCTCTAACTCTCTATCTATCTACTTCTATCTATCTATCTAAATCTAGTAACCTCAATGAAGTACATTATATTTACATGCAAGTGGACAATCAGATGTTAAATCAAGATAGTCGTTGATGTGATATTTTAGTCGGAATAAGGTTACAACACATCATTGTTAGAGTACTGCCTATTTAACATTTCCAAAATATTCTTATTTTTTATTTCAGTGTGTGATCATGGGATCAAGATGACCCGAAGCCCCAACTTTGAAGAGGACCTAAGAGAAGGATACACCAAGTTTGCAAAGTGTCACCTGTGTGTTGAGGAAGCTGCTCTCCACTGACTGTCCGATGTTTGTGATGGCCGGACAGCAGGTGTGCAGGAAGGGCAGGAAGGTTTCCGAGTAGTCGAATAAATACAAATAGAAGAGTGTGAGGCGGGGGGAGCGCTTCAGCGCGTACAGCAAGAACAGCGACTTCCCTGCATTAGTAACCTGGCAGAACGTAAGAGAAGAACAGGTATACAGAGTAAGAGGACAGTCATTTGTGTGAGAAATATGGCAAATACTATCTGGAGATTCAGTGAATTCTTCAATAGGCGCTTTCACACCGGAGTACTTTTCCCAGTATAGTTCCGATAGTTCTTGACATTTTGCATTCACACCAAAAAAATCCGGAACTAGAACTTAGTTCATGAGAACCTTTTCACCCCCTTTTTAGTCCCTGCTAGAGAGGTGGTACTTTCCTGGGGAGGAAAAGGTTCCCATTTCTGATTGGCTGGGCGGATTGCAAACCACGCCCCGTAAAACTCAGAAATGTTTTGTGAAGCCGCCATTGTCTTTGCTGGCATTAGCATTATTAGCATTATTAGCATTAGCCCAGCGCACAAACGGAGAGAGACTAACTTATGGCAATACAAAAAAAAACATGGGAGCGGTGGAGTGATGAGGAGGTGTCGGCGTTCTGGCGATTTACTCTGAAGGCTTCAGTAGAAGCTGCTGGGAGTCCCACTGTGTGTGCTGTGTGCTCTGCATGTGAGACCATTAAAAGAGGGTTTCATCCCTCCCCTATATTAAATATATCAACTTCCTCTTATGATCATTGGTATTGTCTGTTATTACATTTGAAGCAGACCAGACTGTTTACCTTGTATTCCCAGAGGTTCTGTGGAGGTTTGACTCCGAGGGTTTTCACTCTGTCCAGTTCAGCCAGAATAGCCCGGCGGTGGGCCTGGTTGTCGATGCTGTAAGGAGCCTTCAACAACTCTTCATCCCCCAGCATCAAGAGCAACCTAAAGCAGAGAAAACAACATAATGACACACAACATGAGATTATGTTTTTCTCTCAACTGCAGGGTGGCCTTTGCAACCTCATCAGAGAACTACATTTAGAAGACTCAACATTCTGAATGAATACAGCTCATATCAGTTCTATTTTGCAGTGTATAGTTTAAGCCCGGGTCAAACTGTCCCGAAATTGACACCAGATGGACACACGATAAAGGAAATGTTCAAATTTGGCTCTGATCGTAACAACATCGGGCCATTCGTGAGGGCATCTTTTATTTTGAAGGCGAGTTCACGCTGTTGACAGGAAGTTGTTGTTGCTATGGAAACAACATGACGGAGTGTGTGGTTCGGGTGCCATCGTGTGGCCTTCTGTAGGCATCGTACTTGCTTCGGCTGTTGCTTGGCTGTTGACCGAGTTCGGGGCCATCTTCGTGCGAAATTCACAATTCCATATTCGTGTGTCCATCTGGTGTCAATTTCGGGACAGTGTGACGCCAGCCTTAGAAAAGAAACAAAAATGTTGCTGAAATAAAATGTAATTTCTCTTACCTCCCGTTGACACTCTCCTGCTGGAAGGGCTCCCTGTAAAGCTGAGCCCAGGGCCCCAGGAGCTCCAGCCAGGACACCACGTCCTCCGGCGTCCAGTGAGACACGGGTTTACTGATCAACATGTCCTGCTGCTCCACCACCCCACTGCTCCAGTGGTACACCAGCACCATCACCTGCAAACACACACACATTAACAAACAAGGTACAGTTTACATGCTGTTTATCACACAAGAAAGCATTATGGGTAAAAGCGTCATTGGGTGTATGAAAGGCGCTCTATACATTTAAGTAATCATTATTATTATATTTATTATGTTTGGATGCTAAGAAAATATGTATTTCACATGGCAAGGTTATTCTACAGTACATCTTATCGCTGCTCCGACACCTGAATTCTTCCTACTAATTAATAAAGGTTTATCTTATTTTATCCAGTTACAGTGTCTTGCATACAACAACCATGAAAACAATGGAAATGGGCGTGGTTAAAACGCTCATGTGTCGTTTCAAAGAAGAAATAAAACAATCCTAAAAACAGAAAACCTCCTGTGTATCACAATGTGCTGCAGCTTTTGTATCTCGAAACCTTTGAGGAAAAAAAAATATTTGTAATTATTGAAATCAATGATTATACCAGGTAGTTTCATACTGGGACTTTTTTTCGTGCTTTTACCCAGCAAGATGACACCTTTTGTAAAAATCAGCATTCATCGTAATTAAAAGATAAACCGTACAAATCTCAGTTTCCAAGGAACATCATTTCCAGTACAGTTCATGTGAGCCAATAAAACACAAGCATCCCAAACAAACTGAGTCTATGCACACAGGTCAAGGCTGCCTCTACCAAAATGACACACACACACACACACACACACACACACACACACACACACACACACACACACACACACACACACCACACACACACACACACACACACACACACACACACACACACACACACACACACACACACACACACACACACACACACACACACACACAACACACACACACACACACACACACACACACACACACACACACACACACACACCACACACTACACACACACACACACACACACACACACACACACACACACACACACACACACACACACACACACACACACACACACACACACCACACACACACACACACACACACACACACACACACACACACACACACACACACACACACACACACACACACACACACACACACACACACACACACACACACACACACACACACACACAACACACAGTAACGCTGCTCCAAAGTGCCACATGAACAAAATAAACATGGTCTGTCTACATGACATGAACCACCGACCTCCCGCAATACTGTGCTATTACACACCACTGTAGTTAAAATACATAACCTAAAAAGAACTGTCATTTTCCACGCTATAATAGTTACGTTTACAAGACTTTCCTAATATCATGAAGCAAGAAGAGGGACATAATGTATTATAAATAATATTGATTATTGCGCACCATTGCGAAGTAGTCTTTTATGCATACTGTATGTTAAGGAGTATGAATCTAATTACCAATCAAGTTATGTTAGGCAATCATTAAAGCTCAAAATAGAATTTGTTTAACAATATATGTCCTTTTTTTTAAGTTCGGACTGTTAAACACACAGGTTTTTAAGTCAAACAACCAAAAAGATTTACGTTTTTGACATAATTTCTATTTTCCAATAAGAAAAAACGAAATGACATTGTTTACAGTAAAAGAAAAAAGTGTTCAATAAGGTTACTTTTTCATGGCAACCTGTGGATTATTGTGCCATGTCAATAAATCAATATAAAACCCTAAAAACGTAATGAATCTGATTAAAGTAAAAGTGTCAAGCACAGGTCAATGGCACTGGTAAGAATGCAGCGGGGTAGCAAACTGGTTTAGGGCCAGTTACCATTTGATGTTCACAAAAAACGTTTTTTACTGATGTTAAGCACTTACAGCCACACACGTGAGTGCCGTCAGGACTCCAGAGAAGAAGAAGCCCGCTCCTTTGTGCTGGTTTGGCTTGGATTTACCCAAGTTGTCACCATACCTAAAAACGTGTAGATATATTTGTCAGACCAGGTAGAAAAGGTATTAAATACAAGTAAACAGATTGAAAAGACACTAGGGCAAAAAATCCTCATTGTCAGAGGGATCTCCATTCACGTTGCATGATGGGTAATGTGTGCACTAGGTTTTGAGAAGGAAAAGTGTGGAATAAAAAACATATCTCTCGTTCTGCTGAATCCATTTTAAGCATTTTTGTTTTAAACCATCCAGTGTGAGGTCTGAAAATGTTACCAGAGGGCTCTAATAATTATGTGGAGTGCTCATTCCGTGTATACTAGGTTTACACACTGTACCAAAGATTAGATTATACAGTACTACCTCTGAAAGGCCAGCAAGCTCCGGGAGATTTTGGGGTTCTCCTGGATCTCTGCCCTCCTCCGCTCAACCACCTCAGTGAACAGCTTGTCAGTTGCATCCCTAGAGATAAGAACATTCGATTAACAACAGCCAATAAAACCTTAAAAATACTTTGTGGGTAGCGACAGCAAGGTGTATTATATCATATCAAAACTCTCTAGTAGAGCTGAGTATTAGCCTACTGAAAGAAAATGAACCTCCAACTACGGCTGCTCAATTAATCGTATTTTAATCGCAATTACGATTTTGGCTTGCAACGATTATGAAAACAACATAATCGAAATAAAACTATTATTTTTTTTATTATTTTTAAATAATTTTCTTCATTGGTTTTTCAGTTGAATTAAACTTAAAGTTCAGGGTAATCAACTGTTAAAAATATACTGTTCACATTTTTTTTTTCAATAAATGGATGTTTTCAAAGTAAATGGATAATCGTTTTTAATAATCGTGATGTCAATTATTGACCCAAATAATCGAGATTATGATTTTTGCCATAATCGAGCAGCCCTACCTCCAACTATAGTGTCAATTGATTTGGTTAATTTTCAAGCAGCAATAAATAACTGGTTAATGGTTTTCTATTGTGAATATTCTTTTAATTCTCTTGAATTTGTAGGAATATAATTTCTGGGATTTTGAATGCTGGTCAGACATTTTAAAGACGTGGCCTTGGGCTCTGGAATACTGCAATGGAAAAACTGTATGTGAGACATGCGAGTACTGTGCTCAGAAAGACAAACATTCATCGCATGATATGATCTGGCCGTGAATAGCATACCTCAGCAGTATGTTGATTTTAGGAAAGCCTGCCCACTTCTCCCGGCACTCTGGGCACTCGTTCTTGTGAGAGGACTCCCACCACAGAGCCAGACAGTGGCGGCAGAAGTTATGGCCGCACGTCAACGTGGTGGGGTTCACTAAGATGTCGTAGCAACAGTGGCACGAGAACTCATGTTCTGAGATGTTGGTGGTGGAGGGCATCGACTGAGCAGACTCAGATAAGTAAGGGAGGGCCTCCATTGATCCTCCAAGACCGTCATCTGATGAATCCCACTCCATCTGGTGCAACAAATCCAAGTCTGAATGAGAAGAGAAACAAGGTTCAAAGAGAAGTGTCTAAACGTTTCTCAGAGAAAACCTGCAATATAAAGTCTGTACCATGATTATTTAACGGTTCTCCGATAAATTACTTGACTTTCAATCATCTCCAAAGAATATGATATAAGCAATGTCCTGAGGTGAATACATACATTACACTTTAAATAGTAAGAGGTGGAAGTAGTGAAGTAATCATATGTTGTACTTAAGTAAAAGTACCAGTACAGAGTATACTGCAGTCCTGCATTGCAAATGTTACTCAAGTAAAAGTATAAAAGTATGAGCATCTTAATTAAATATACTTAAAGTACCCAAAGTAAAAGTAGTCATTCTGCAGATTGGCCCATTTTGTTATCATATATATTATATGTTTTGATTATAATTATTGATGCATTAATGAGTTTATCAAAGCTGGTAAAGGTACAGCTTATTCTAATGATTTTGTATACTGCAGGTAGCTTGTGAATGTACTATTTACACCACTGCAGCTAACGTTTAATTAGCTGATCTCATACTGATCTGGACCAGGAATCTGGACGTTAGCTGTACTGTAACCAGTAAGCTTTTCGTTAGCTTATCAAAAGCATTTCATCAACATGTTCTGCCCTTTAAACCCGAAAAACACTCAATATGTACCATCGTTAGCTTTCAAACTGATATGCTAGTTAGCACGCAAATGATACCTGACGCTAGCATAACAGAAAGTGAGAGTAACACAACATAACCTGACATTCAACAAGATGACAGTTTTACCTCGTCTCAGAAATGGCCTTTGCTGGAGGATGACATCTTGTTAAAATATCTTCGGTGTGATTGTCGGAAGGTTATCCTGCATTGAAACGTCCGCAGATGAGATGAATATCCTGCCGGAGGAGCTGTCACCATGGCTCTGCGCCGTGCTCGCTCCCGTGTGGAAAACCCCAACCAAGCACACGCTTACGTCACCGCGTCACCGTGCGGGTTCCTGATAAACACACGGCACGTCATTGGTCGAGCCCACCTATCACATGTTATGCTGTGTATTTCTACTCGATTTTCAGTGGTAGAAGGCAACTAAGCATAGGCGTCATTTGCGCTCGGAACATGTCCCTACCACTTTTTGAAATGGCCAATTCTGTCCCCACCACTTATAAATGTTCTGAAAAATAGCGTGCACAAAGAAATGTTATAAACAAGAACACTGGTTTAGTGTCAAGATGTGCAATTTGGACATGGACGACATCTACCAAAATCACTTCACACTTCTCCTATCTCCTAAGTCCTAACACTTAGGTGTTACTCCATTAATAACATCTGTCTAAGATATAAAGACTTTTTTATCCAGGATTTTATTTATTTATTGCATGTGCTTATTTTTTGTGAATATTCTTTAAGGAATTTTATTTATATTTGAACCCACGTCTCACAGAGAACTACATTACATTACATTACATTTCATTTAGCTGATGCTTTTATCCAAAGTGACAATAAGTGCATTCGACCAAGAAGATACAAACTTGAAGAAAACAGAATCATATAAGTACATCAGTTTTCATAGAGCCAAAACATTTCAAGTGATACTCAACAGGCTTTAGATATGCCAGTCCTTTGTTAGTATGTAAGTGCTTAGTTAGTATACAAGTGCTTTTTATTTTGTTTTTTTTAGAACTAGATATGGACTGTCTGCTTTAACCACCGAGCTATACAGCAGCTTGTGCAGGCAGGATTGATTTGAAGTGCCTGGATCACATGACCTTTTTAAACATGAAATCTCACAAAGATAATAAAACATTTACAAAAAAAGATTCAAGTCTATGATAATGTTTTAAAAAAGCAATATATTTAATTATTATTTTTTTCACTTAATTTTAGTAAAACTTTTTCTTTCATATTAAATATCTTTATGTATTATTTTTCAAGTTAGTTTCTATGATTGTCTTATGTATTATATTATCATTTGATTTTTTTTTTTAAATAATTGATTTTCTGTTATATGTCAGAGGGAAATATTCAGAGATTCAAAGGCTTTATTGTCATATGCACAGTAGCTACAGTGTAGTTATTATCTTAAGTCCCAGGCTCCTCCATTAATGCAACATAAACATGTATATAAGACATAAAATAATAGACCAAATGTAAAGAAATAATGCAAATAAAAATAGTGCAAGAAATGACAGATTGAGATAAAAAAAAGTGCAAGAGAATGTTGCAAGACTGATGAGCAAATAATGCTAGAGAAGTTATTATATACATGTAAAATAGAATAAGATGTGCTATAATTTACTCCACTACTTTAGTTTGACACTTATTGCTACTTTATAAGTAAACAAAAAGAAATGGGATGCGTATATGATATTATGCTGTGTAATGCTTACCTACCAAGAATATGAAATTACAAATTGAGTACGACATTAAAGTGCTCTTCATATTCTTATTAGTGATATCATTTGCATAATATTATTGTTATTTGGATAACATTTTCATTTTTTATTTCTATTATGTTGTCTAGAGTATTCTTAGGTTTGCCTAAGTAGAGTAGTTTTTCAACCACTGTCTATATATCTTCTTATGGGATAAACCTGAATGTTATGGAGTGGTGTCACCAACTTGCTAAAAAAAAAAAGGATTATTTTTAAATTAAATGGAAAGTAGTCTGGAAATAAGAAAAGTATAAAATTCTATCTTAAAAAGAAAAATGGACAACTTTCCTGCACTAATTTTATGAATTGAAATAAAATAGCACCATATGCTTAACTAATATTTAAAAACAAGTCTGTGTATCTGTACATCAGTATTTGAACATGTGTATGATAAAGAAAGTGAAATGTGTGCCTTCAGCAGCAGTAGAAGAGGAAAGAGGAAAGAGGAAGATGTCGTCTAATCTCTTCCTCAGTGATGTTCAAACCAGCTGATGTCTGCCATGTGGCGTTTTGAATCTGCTTCAGTGCAAAGTTCAGATCAGATTCTGGACTGAACTTATCATGAGGTATTCCTGACCTTGATAATAACAAACAGTAACCTATTAACTTTCACGTTGGCTCTGCAGGTACAGGAGACACCACAAAGCCTCCATTTGCATAACAAACAAAAAAAACTATATTAATTTTTCGGTACCACTTTACAATAAGACTACCCTTATAAAGGGTTTACGAATAGTTTGTAATTCATTTATTAATTAGGTTGTGAACACTTTATAAGTCATTAATAAGCTTTTATAAGAAATTAGATAAACAGGGCATCTGTGACCGGTTGCTTGCCAAATAGTGAGCCCACATGTATCTGTACTGTTAAGTCTTATATTGGCTACCTAGCTTACTTCGTCTTCTTCATCAGCCAGCATCCTTGGTATCTGTTGCTCACTGAGTTGATTGAGTAGCCAATATAAGGCTTAGTCATCTTGCCAAATAGTGAGCCTGTGTTGATGTATGAAAACTATGTTACAACTGGTTTATAAATGTTTCTTAATGATTAATAAAGTGTTTACAACCTAGTTCATAACCTAATTATAAACCCTTTATGAATCCTTTATAAGGGTAGTCTTATTGTAAAGTGGTACCAATTTTTCTGCAATGAATACTTTAACTCCCAAAACTTTGAGTATATTTACCTGCTTTTACTTAAATACTTTTACTTAAGTACCATTTCATTTTTACAGTGAAGTATTAACACTTCTTCTTAAGTAAAGGATCTGTTATACTTTTATAACATCTGGTAGGGGGCGGTGTTATCCTCCAAGTTTGTAGCCTGCAGTCACGGAAGGTAAAAAAAAAAAAGCAGCGAAGAAGAAGAAGAAGTGGTGGCCTAGCAGCAGCAGCGGTTAGTTCCTAACGGCTGCTGTCACCACAACAACGCAACAACGTAGCTTCATTAATTCCTCACCCTGGTTTTCTTATGACATCCTTCAGACCCGGAGAACACTTCCCATTATGTTTGAGGTAAAGTGGCTGCTTTTCGGGGCTGTTTCTATATAGCTAACTGTGTGTAGCTTTACTGTTATAGTTAACTAGCAGCTGGGTAGATTAACATGGTAAACAGGTGAATCAAAAGTGATGTTGGGTGTGGGTGAAACTGGGTGACTTTAGTTTAAATATAACCCCTTCTCACTCCTATATTAAATATTTATAATATAGTCAGAATAGGTTTATTGGTAGCTAGTTAGCTTGTGACGTTTGTTATTAAACTAATGCTGGTTGCATTCAGTAACATATAAACAGTGGTGTAATGTAACTAAGTACATTTAACATTTTGAAGGACTTGTAGGCTTCGTTACTTGAGTATTTTAATTTGTTGCTACTTTGTCCTTCTACTGCTCCATTTCAGAGTTAAATCATGTATAATCCACACTTGAATAATACTTTAGTTAAGATCTGAGTACTTCTCCCACCTCTGATTGTTATGGGAACATGTGTTGCATTTGTTCCTTCAAAAACCCAAGAAAAAATATCATAAAAATACGTAAAAAGGGTATGTGTTTGAATCAAATAAGTACTTTAGTTTTATTTTATGAACCACTGTAATTTCTCCTGAAAATGTCAATGCGAGACACTTAGAATTATGATCACACACAATTTGTAACAATGGGATATTGTTTTATTCTACTGGAGTGCATGTGGCTTCACTCGTCCAGACTCCAGACGGATCTCGTATTTTTGTATAGCATTTTTCATTTAATGTATGCTGCACTTAATGTTGTGAGACATCTCCAAGGTTTCTGAGGTTGGTTTTTGTATGTCTTTGCATTTACTGAGCAGCATTATTGTCTCCGTCTGTATTTAGGATCCTGATCTCCAAGATCCGTTGTCACTGAGTTTAAATGAAAACTATAATGGCCAGAATTTGCCACAACATGATACAGAAAAAGCTAGCCCTGAGTATGATTGCGAGACACCAGAGATTCGAGTCATCATCAAAGAGGAAGAGGAAGGGTGGACTGTGAGTGAAAATCGTGAGTGGTGAAATCTTAAATATCTGCATCACCTTAATACATACACAAACATATACTTGCTCATGATTTTCACATTTTTGTTTGTATTTTTAAACACAGATGAGGGCTTCAGATCAGAAGGAGAAAAAGAAGAAACTTCCACACACTCATGTCCTCCTGATGTTAAAGCATGCGGGACGGAGAGCTCTGTTTTATACGGAGTAAAGAGACAGCAGAGAGATTATTCAGAGGAGACTGGATGCTCCTCCACCAGAGAGGAGCGGCCGACACACATGCTCACCGACTCGGAAAAAACCCCTAGGATTTCATGTATACAGGGAAAAGCAGATGGAAATGTGACTGTGCATCAGTGCAATAACACTGAAGAGAAACCCTTCTGCTGTGAGACGAACCCCGGACACAAAAGGAACATGAAATCCTGTCAGAGACAACATGCCGGGGAGGAGAGTCAAGAGCAGAGCTTGCATGTAAAACAAAGCACTTCAACAACAGAAGAAGCAGAGACCAAAATATCAGCACCTTGCCAAACAGTATGTACAAATAGTTATTGTGGTAGAAGTTGGTGAATCCGAATTGTACGAACAATCCTGACGGTTAAATTAAGAGAGTTTCAGAACAAAAATATACCTGTATCATGCGCCTTTTTAAAGGACGAAACTGCACAGAGACCCTATAAGTGTTTGACCAATCACAACAGAGCTGGCCTGGCAGAATGAGAAAAATAAAGAGCTTTTGGAACATTAGAGAATGTAAACATGTTCCACTGGGACAGTAAAATGCTTCAATCTGGTGCACTTTGAGCAGAATTACTAGAGACTAGATCTAGGGGGTACAACTCTAAAACACCCATATGAAAAAGATCGGTTTACATTTTAATAATCAAATAAGTATGTGAACATAACCAATAACCTACCATAGCCAATAACAAATAAATGTAACGTATTTTATTTTTTGTTGTTATTTCATATCTTATTTTACCTAGTTAACATTTATTTATTCATACATATTTGTTAATATCTCCAGTTTTAAACGATATTTTTGGTTACTGTCCTATAGTATACATTGAAATTATTTCAAACCTGTTGTTATTTATCCTAATAATTATAAATGAGTGCCTTGGAAATATTTGTTTACATAAATTGTGACCAAACAGTTTGAGACCCACTGAGATAACTTAGACTAAAGTGAACTATCTAAACACTCAGAGTCCTTTACCTCACTGAGCTGTAGTTATCAGCCTCAATCCAACAACAATCCGCGGTAGATGCATGCGCGCCCTCTCTCTCTCTCTCTTGCTCGCTCGGAGGCTCGCTTTCACTTTGGCTGTGAGCTGCGGGCGCCAGATAAGTCAACATCCCCCACTTTCATCACTTACAGCGCACATCGTACAGGGGGGCAAATGCAAAATGTTGCCGGCCCGTGGTGCAAAGGGTGTTTACTTTATTCAATTATTAATGTAAATGTATTACATCAAGGGTAGAAAATTAGGCAGAATAAAAAAAAATAATGAATTAATTAATTTCTTTTAATTATTATCTTTTTTTCTCCCAGCGCAGTGCCCCTCCAGATCTGGCGCCCTAGGCGACCGGCTAATTCACCAGTGCCTAGGGCCGGCCCTGTGTCCCACAACATGCAATTATTAACCTGAAAATGTGCATAATATGTCCTCTTTAAAGTGTTAAAGTTGTTAGAAATGTTTTTATCACTGTGCATTCCAACAAAGTTAGAAAACATTTCCAAATCTGGTTGTTGTGTATTCAGGATTCTGCTGAGCGTAGCCCCCTGAAGTCACAGGGACTGAAGATGGCGTCTACAAATGTAGAGGACCAAACGCTCCATCTGACTGTCAGGCTGCAGGCAGGGGAGGAGGAGGAGGAGGAGGAGGAGGAGGAGGAGGAGGAGGAGGAGGAGGAGGAGGAGGAGGAAAACAAACAAGATGAAGAAATCGGGGGTCTAATCAACTCTGATGGAGAAGTGGTGGATTGGGATGCCAGTAAGTGATTCATAAAAGAATGTCTGTTTCGTCGCATTCACACCCAATAGTCCATTTTCAGGTGCGCACCAGACGACAGTTTGTTACATTTTTCAGAAGGTTCGGTTTGCGTTCACACGGGCAAAACTCAAACGGACTATAAACTTTAAACACAAGTCATGTGCACGGAAATGCTGTTCAACCATTGGTCAGACATTAAGGGGGTAAAAACGCAAATCCCGACAATTTATACCGGAGCCTCCGCCATGGAGCATCGGCACTTTCGGTAGGTTATTTTCATGCTGCTGTTAAAATGGAGAGCATATCAACCGACTCTAGCGGCCCGCGCATATGATTATATAATCAGACAACGTCTGAGAGACGTTCTGCAGTCAGGAGGAGGTTTCACAGACGACAGGTGGCTCTGACTTTTATGTATAGTTGACGGAGCATTTGTACTGTTACGACACTGTTCAACACTTCATTCTGCTTCACTCTTTAACTAAACAACCGCGGATGTCTTCAAAAATCTTTAGCGACATCCGCGTTCTTGTGACGCGTAAATAATACACTTCCTATGTTTTGGTGCGGACTGCGTTCACACCAACGATGAACCGCTCCAGAGTTCACTAGCAAGCGCTCCGAGACCACCTCTTTTAGGCGGACCAGAGTCCGGTTGTTTTAGTTCACTTCAGTGGTCTCGGACTGCGTTCACACCGACCCAAACGAACCGCACCAAGCGGGTAAACGCACCAGGGTTCGATTCAACCGGACTATACAAGGCTGGTGTAGTTTTGAGATGATTTGGTAAAGCTTATTAAAGCTGTTAGAAATAAAAGATATTTCCTGGGAATTTGCAACCAAATAATTCAAGTATTTTCAAAACAAGAACTTGTTTCGATTAATGAGATATCTATTGTCTTTTAGTTTTCTGTTATCATTTTGTTTACGTTGTTAATGAATGGTATTTGAATGCAGCTATTTATGTTACACCTATTACAGGTTTAAACTTATAATAATATACTTATAATTATCTTGATTTCTTTTTACAGAAGACAGTCCTGACCGGGGCTCTGATTGCAGAAAAAGTCCTCAAGCTAGCAAGGTAATTTCTTCTTGAGACTCAATTTATTAATTTTCCCAAGTGCAGTTTTCCAAGTGCATATATATTTTCATTTTCAATAAAGAAAATAACAAGAACTCAGTACTGTAAACATATTGGTTGTATAATTGGACCAGGAAACGACACACACAACATTAATTTAATCACAAGATTTATTTACAAAGATTTTGAACATGAGCCAAACAATCCCTCTCTTAGTGAATTATATAACTTTCCTCCTACATGATTTTTAGAAGTTGCTTTCATTTTCTTACAATAAGATGAATTTTCCCCCCCAAACGGTGTCTCAACTTCTCTTGAAGGACAACATCAGATTTCAGAGATTTCCTACAATTGAACAGAAGGAAATTCATCCCAACAACCCACTTCACTTTTGTAGCCTTTCTCGCCAACACTAAAATAAATGTAATTGTTTCCTTGTGTAACTTCAAATTAAAGTAGGTATAAAAGTGAACTAGAGAGCAGTTGTTGCCCTATAACAGTACTTAATTCTTTACATGTTGCCCTCCAGACTAATTAAACTTGCAACCTAGTGCACTCAAAAGTACAACATGTTCTGCTTTCAGTTATTACTTTTGCATTTGGGACACTTTGAAATTGCTACTGATGTGAAATTACTATGAATATATGGAAAAATGTAAATTGACCGTTAAATATTCCACTGCATCCACCTTTACGATTGCATGTTGATATTCTTGAAGGCAAAAGCAGAATTTCTTCCTGTGTGTCTTTATCTCTTGCCACTTGATGCAGTGTGCGACCAGATGCTGATGGTTTTGAATGATTATGATCACAGGGTGTCGTCCCGTCCAAGTCTCACCTGCAAGGCCAAACCCAGAGAGGCAGCAGTAGTCCAACGCTCATCATGGAGGTTGTGTCTGTGGGGGAAGAAGGGGAGGAAAGAGAGAGAGTAGTAAAGATGGCAGCTGTCTCGCCCTTATATTGTGGTAAACACAAGTCAAAACGATACATTAAAAGAGTACAGGATGTAAACAATAGTTATGACTCGGTTATCTTTTCAATGAAATGTTACCAGGGAAGAGACACAGAAGAAAGAAGAATGTTCCAGAAATAACGGGGGTGTCATTGGACGACACAGAGAAAGAAGTTCCTGCCGATCCTGGTGAATGAAGATTTTTAATATAATACACATCTTGAATATTGGTTTAAGAAGTACATATGAAGGAATTAGAAGGGTTGTTTTTTGTAACATGGTACTGCGATTTCAGCATCAATATAATAACGGTGTCTTTCCATTTTGTAATTATGTTTCATGGTGCTTTCCTTTGTCTAAAAGTAAAAAGAAGGGGCAGAAGAAAGGTTTCACAAACTCCTCCAATGAGTGCCGAGGACCCAGAGGCAGAGCCAGGAAGTGAGTGTACTTGACTTTTATGCCAAATGTCTGTATATACTTTAAATTAATCCTTAGGATTCATTTCAAAATCCTTTTATTTACTTTTAAATCAGTAAATGGCATGACCCCACCATATCTTTCTGAGCTGCTACACCCTTACACGCCCAACCGCCCTCTCAGCTGATCAACTGCTCCTGAATGTGCCCAGAACCAAGTCAAAGCTCAGAGGGGCCTGCTGCTTCTCTGTAGCGGCTCCCACACTGTGGAACGATCTGCCCATGCATATCAGACAGGCCTCCACACTGTCTGCTTTTAAATCGCTTCTTAAAACCCACCTCTTCTCCTTAGCGTATTAACATATTTTAGAGTGTTGCTTTTATTGCTTTTAAATTGTCTATTGTTTTTACTTGTACTTGTTTTATGGTGTGTGAGCTGAGCTGTGTTACTTTTTGTATGTTTTGTTTAGTTTATTTGACTGTACAGCACTTTGGTCTGGAGGTTTAAAGTGCTCTATAAATAAAGCTGTATTGTATTGTATTGTATTGTGCATGTTATTGTTTTGTTATATTAACTTGTTTTTTTTCTTGAAGTATCAAGGCGTACCCTAAGAAAGAGAAATGTCCCTACCTACGTGGAAACAGAAGAATTTACCTCCAAAGTTGCCCGCCGGGTTGCTGGTAAAACATGAACAAATACGTTTGGATATTGTTTCATTGATTCCGATTTTACTCTGTGATTATGATGCCTTGCATAATATTTAAAAAAAAAAAAAATCACTGGTTTTAGAACAGAAAACAAGTCGGATTTGAGTCTTCTTGATACCCAACCAATTCGTTTGATATTTTAGCATAAATATGTTTTCCACTAAAAGCATTTGTTTTTGTTATGCTAGCAAAGCGACCTTACAGAAGGAGGAAAGATACCAAACTATCTCCTGAAGGGGAAGGAAGAAACGCTGGTCTTTCTGTTGGTAAGAGCAAATAAAATGGTCCACAATATTCTATAACAAGCATGGTGGAGCAGTTGCAGCTAATCCTGGAGAAACCATTATCATTGAGTAACCTATGGGAGGAAGGATGTCTGTGTTCTTAATTGATTTTTTTACCATGTTACCCAAATGTGAGTGTAGGATATAGTTAAAGTACTTCTGCAAAGCTGCCTGCAGTTAAATAAACCTGGTGCAGTGATTTAGTGCGATGGATATACTGCTGTGTAAACTATTATTTTGATATGCAGATTTCCAATGCAATGCAAGAAACATGGTTAGTTTGTGATGAATGTTGCATTTTATTTTTTATTTTGCCTTTATTATACAGGTGTAAAATCTCATTGAGACACAAGGTCTCATTTTCAAGAGAGACCTGTCAGTGGTAACACTACCACACAAAGTTACAGACAGACAGGACACTAAACACAGAGGCAACACTAAACATTGTATGTCTTCAATCTCTTTTTGTAAGCATTAAATCAACAGACAAACCTTTTAATTTCACTGTTGGTATTCCCATATGTAGGAAAGAAGCGCCCCGGCAGAAAGATGGTTCGTGTTCCTATAGAAATCCCTCCTGAGCTCCTGAAGAAGCCCAAAGAGAAGATGGAGTACTACTGCTCAGTGTGCAGCAAAGAGTTCCCTCATGCCTACAAACTGGAGAGGCACAAGCTGATCCACACCGGAGAGAAACCGTACTGCTGCTCCATCTGTGGGCGGGGCTTCAACCAGAAGGGAAACCTCAAAACACACCACAAGGTCCACTTAGGTGGGAGCTGAATCATATCTAATCATTTTAAATAATCTCATAGACTATTTGCAATTCTATTTCTCCCAATGAATACATGTCATGTAAATATTAACAGTTGTCTTTACTTTTTTTTAATTAACGGTGTCCGCGGGGTCTTAAAAAGTATTAAAAGTTGATAAATCAATTTAGCCAAAATTAAGGCTATTAAAAAGTATTAAAAGTATTAAACGGCATTTTCCAAGGTATTACATTTTGTAGCTTGTTTTCAATAAGTATATAAATGGTCCAAAGAGGTTGTATTCTACAGTCTGCCTGAATGTAATCATTGCGTAGGTGTGTAGTGAGATTCTGTGTAGTTTATTTATGGCATCCCGTTGGATTTGACGTCATCTGAACAGGACATCGCACGCTCACTGCTTGATAGCGCGCGAAGGTCCGTTTACGCCGGTTGTTAAACAACGTCGTTATGGGGAAATGCAAGTTTGCGTCCAAATGGTTGGAAGATAAGGAGGAAGGACAATCAATACTGTATATAGTCAATGTGAGGTAAAGTGTGTCGCCAATGTAACCGGTTAAAACTCGAAGTGGCGATGAGGTCTTAAAATGTATGGAAAGGGTCTTAAAAAAGATCTTAAAAGGCATTAAATTTGACTTCAGGATTCCTGCATATACCCTGAGCAAGTATTCTCAAAGATACCAAACAAACGATCTTGAAATTGGCATTTTGTTAAGATAATCTGAATTGTTTTTTATTTAATTCCTACATTTATTAAAAAACATAACTTCAGTCAAGCAGGCTTAAGTCAAACCTCATGTTTTCAGCAGATTCAGTAGCTTTTTTCTATTGCACATTATACACAGAGCAGTGAAGGAAAACCAGCATGAATGTCTTCCAAGTTGCCTTAAAATGACCTGTGACGGAAAAGTAATGCTGTAAGTCCTTAAGGAATGTTACAAAAAATGTATAGTTGATGAGTAAAACATGATTTTTCTCTACTTTTGTCTCTGTGAAGGTCTTAAGGGCTCTTCTGATCTTGACGAGGAGGTGAATCCGATAGCATCTGAACTCTCTGAATACTTAAAGTCTCTGCCGGGCGAGTCCAGGATCAGATCGTCGCTGCGCTGCCTGGACTGTGGAACAGAGTGTGAGAGTCATTCAGCTTTACAAGCACATCACGTTACTTCGCACACAGAAACAGAAACAGCCGGGGAACCAGACGCCGTCGAGCACAGCCCTTCGCCGCTTCTCTTCTGCCGCCGCTGTGGCGTTCAGTTCAGTGAGAAAGAAAAGCTGGAAGAGCATATGAAAACACACACCAAGGCCAAGCCCTACTCCTGTCCCGACTGCGGGAAGAAGTTCATCAACGAGAGCTACATACAAATTCACCAACGCATCCACACTGGGGAGAAACCGTTCCTCTGCTCCGACTGCGGCAGAGGTTTCCACACCGCTTCCTCTCTCAAGCTCCACGAGATGCAGCACTCTGGAGAGAGGCCGTACGCATGTTCCATCTGCGGGAAGACGTTTCGGATAAACTCGTACTTAACGGCACATTACCAGACCCACATTAAAGACAGGCCGTTCATTTGCAGTGTCTGCGGGAAAGGCTACTCCAGAGCGGAGGAACTGAAGGTGCACCACCGGCTGCACACCGGGGAGAGACCCTACGAGTGTGGAGAGTGTGGGAAGAGCTTCATTTACCGCCAGGGTCTGCGGCAGCACCAGCGCACGCATGCTGGGAAACGCATCGGACCAACCAGGCAGCTGGGCAGACCCAAACAACTGGCCAGCATGGACATCTAACAGTTGATCTATTGATGTTAGCTGTTTGAAGATATTACAGTTAATCAAGTGCTTATTTCCTGTTCTTCTTCCTTCCATTCCTCCACTCCCTCCACTCTTAAACAGCAGAGACAACAGAGTGGTGCCGGGATGACGTATTTACCCGGAAGTAAGCTGCGCATGGGTTCCCTCGACAAAAAAGCAATGGGATTTCTCCATAGGATTTTGGGAAATAGCTCAAAATAGGGTCTGTGGAAAACGAACCTGTTTGATAAATGCACGTTCTGTTCAGCCGGATAATCTCCACATGTCTACCCTACTTTTATAATTTTCGATTAGATCATAAATCTAATCGCCAGAAGCAAAATGCTAACGTTATGCTATAAACGAACTACGGCCGAGTACAGCAGGGTCGCACGACTTCAACGTCACGCCAATTTCAGATCGATATTAAAACATACAGATTCTAAATGGTACAAGTTGAAGCGTTTGTTTGAACAGTTTGCAGGAGGCAGGTACTTGCTTTCAAGCAGAACACGGCAAAAAAACTTAGAGGAGTGTTTACGTGTTCGGCGTAATGACGTACAACGTCCTCCACAACTTCTGTAGTCCTATTCAGCCACTTGTTAACAACCATTGTTTTTCAGACACGTAAACTCTTCAAAAATCACCAGTGGGGTCACTGCTGATGGATTTAATGTCGTAGAACAAAACGTGATCCGTCTCTTAAATTTGTTTCAACCACAGACCTTATTTCCAGCTATTTTCCAAAATCCTATGGAGAAATCCCATTGGCTCTGAGACGAGGGAACCGGTAGTGGTAAAATGCTAACTCACTTCCGGGTTTTAGGACTCGTCACTGCACCACTCTATTACTGTGTTGGAAGATATTCGCTACAGAGTCGGTGTGGGTTGCCAAGAATATTTTTAAAGATTTATTGTGTTGTCTTTCTCGTATCATGTTTTGTACCCATGCTCGTATGTTTACTCTTCTCTAGTAGCCCATCTGTGCAATTTGAGTGCCTTTGTATCCTGCATGCCAAATACTAATACTTAATGTTAAAAGAATTATGCACAATATCCTTGTTATTTTAAGAACCATGTCAAATGAATACAGATTTTTTTCAGAAACCTGTCTGGGTTGTTTTTTCAACTGTTCAATAACGTATCCCCACATTATAAAACTTATAGTTCAAGACAGATTCTCAAACAAATCATTACATGCATGCATAACTTACTGGTTCCTAAAGTTAGAAATCATTCCAAATCTTGCCATAAAACCCTGTCGTTTTAAAAAGGTTTCTTTGGCTATTTTAATGTTTGCCTAATGTGTTTTCAGTATATATTTGAAACTTGAGTCCTTGCGTTTATGGTTCCGTAGATGAGTGTAAAAAAGCAAAAACACTGGTTTTGATTCAGAATCGTCACTGCATAAATGCTCCAGGAGGCTTCTGTTTACTTTTTTTTCCGACATGAAAATCCTTTGAGTACTCTGGCATAGATTAAAGCTGACTACGCCTGCTGTTCCCTTCAGGAGGAAGTAGGCGCCTTGAGTCATGCCTTCATATAGAATAGATGGTGAGTATGACACATATTTGTATTTCACCTTATTACCAAAAAATTGTTTTAACTGGCTAAGTATGTACATTTCTAACAACATTTATTTAATCACGGACCCAGGTTTTTCCGGTCACCCTTTTGGATAATGAGCTACACTCAGAGAAAACTACTTCAGCACCACGGACAGCACCTTAGATTTATCAATACTCTGCACATTAACAGGACAGGCTACAGGGATACTACTAACTTGCAAAAATGTGTGTCAAAAAAAGGATCAATGAGTCAGGCAGAATGGATTAACATATCAACTGAACAACCCTCTGACCCTGCACTGTGTCTAAAGAGAATAGAGGTGGCAGGTTAACGGTTGTGGTGGAATTCACAATAGTCTTATCCCTTGTGTTGTGTTCGAAAGCTGTTACCGTTCGTGGTGTTCGCGGGTCAATTTTGACCGATGATTTATCTCAGTCCAAAACACACAAAAAAAAAAGACTATCATCCAATATTGTTTTAACTACATCATAACTAACTTATAATGCATTCATAACCGTACAATCCTGTTGTAACTTAATGTTATGGCCCAAAACACATGACACCACATATTGCACACGTGCAAGTGTTAGAGTACATATTCTTTGAGAAAGGTGGAGTTCCCGTGGGGGGAGGGGGGCAGAGAGAGGGGAGACCAGGTGCATGTTGCGAAAGATTATTGTTACAGTTGATGAAGGGGGTGGGGCTGGGGTGTCTAAAGTCAAAGATTAATCTTGATTGGGCCAAATTTGACCTCGAGTCACCCAAAACCAGACCCGAACACCAAATTATACACTTTTTTTTTTTTAGACCTTCAGACTTGGCAAAAATGGTCAAAATCTGTTTTGTAGTGTTTATATATAATAATAATATATGAAAAGACAAAACTTTCTTTGTTTACTATTTTCTCACTGATTAGTATAAGGCAGTGGTGCATAACATACTCAGATCCTTTACTTGACTAAACGTAGAGACTCCAAGTAAAAGCTCTGACTTGAAAATGTCACATAAGTAAAATGTAGTTATGGTTTTGTGGTTTCTTGCTTTCCTCCACTGACACTGGAAATTCATTTCAAACAAGGCTACTTTCGATAGGTACAGTTTGCGGATACTTATGTTACTGTTATCTAATTGTGGCCACATTAGGGCAGAAAACAAAACGGTCTAAACACACAAAATGAACATGGTATTACATTTGAATAATAATTTACTGAAAAAGACAGTATAAAGAAAAAAATCATTGTAAACTAAACCCATCATTAACAAAGTATCACAATTAAATAATAATTTACAAAAAAAGACAAGAAAAAGTTATTGAGTTTTATTCAAACGTAATGTAATTGTCAGACTTAATCTACCTGATTTGAATACAATACATGTATTTATTAAATATATATAATTGAAAAGTCTAACATAAACCCATAGACTGTATATAAAGCATAAACCACGTTAAAAAAAACTAACAAAAATGGGGCCGGTATTTTGGTTTGAAAAGTCAACCGGAAGTACAGACACTGCTTTAGGTGGCTAGCAGCTAAAGCTAGAAAGGTTATCATCAGAGCCAAACGCTTTTTTTTAACTTAACTCATGAGTTAGGGGGCATTTATTTGACACATTATGAGGAGATATTGAGCATGAAAATGAGAGAGAAGTAGAAATATATCCCTGTCTTTCATATAAACTTCTGTCGAGGGACTACTTTTTTTTACCTGAGGGGAAATCAATGCTGAGGTTGGTCAAAACGTCTATTGTCTGTTAAACGTTAGCTAGCTGAGATAGCGAGTCTTAAACATGCAAAGGTAATGTTTACAGATAATTACCGTATTCTTTTCACGTTGAAAAGTATAGTGGGTATGTCGCAACTGTTATTTGTTATTGTTGATAAGCGTCTATAGCTTAAGGGGAGGCAACCGTTAGCTAATTGCTAATATCAGCGATGCTCGTGAACGTCAATGGCTAGCAGGCTAATAACAGTTTCCTCAGAAGGTGGTCGCTGACCAAAGCGCTGGTCATCTCCTTCAGAGGTCAAATACTGGCTGCTGTGCTGCAGGGGAATCCTCATTACAATGGGTTAATTACACAGAATAACCGGATTGACAATCAGGTTGCTGCTTAACTTAAATCTGTATTAATGTGAGATTTAAAGGGATGTAGAACAAGTGAGTGCCATTAAGCTAGCTTTTGAGCTAACAAGGCTACTCTGTGTTGACATTCACTTACAAGCACTGTCAATTATTTTGATAGTGAGCACCATGACAGTTCCAGTGCTTATAGTGTTGCAGCTGAAATGCATATTCTTTTTATAACACGTGTTTAATCTTTAAAGGTAGTCTGTCCATCAGATCAGGCCCAGCCATGTTCACACCCCCCATCACAACAAAGCATCCGCCCTGCTGAAGTGTCCTTGAGCAGGACGAAGGATGTCTTCCAGGGTGGAGGCTCTGTTTGGCAGACAAGAGACACACATTTCCCCCAAAGAGATCTGGTGCACAACTCAATACTGCTTAAACATGAGATATAATACTTGGTTGAAATATAATAATCAAATGTATTGTGTGAATTGTAAAGATATCTAAAACAAGAATTCAATGTTCACAACCACCATATGTCACAAATGTTTTAAAAATAATTATTTAACCAAAATTAGAATACGCCTTAATGTGATATTTTGAATAATATGTGAATAAAGGAAAGTCAATTTGTATATTGTTCACAGTCGGATTAGTCCGTCAAGGCAAGTTTGGTTCATGCTAATTTGAAATAATGTGTATTATTAAGTATTTTATCTGTGACAGTTCTATGATTCACTTCCAGCCTTTGAGTGATCAACTTTGCTTGCAAAATACGTTTTATATATACAATCACCTGTTGTAAATGTTATTGTAATTCCTGTTCACTGACTCTTGTTTTTTCACCTCTTAAAGGTTGTATATCTGAGAGATGAGCTCTGAAAACCCAGAAGACTTTGGACCAGCTGTGACTCTCGCTGAGGAAGATCAGCAAGAAATTGGAGGCCTGATCAACTCCGATGGAGAAGAAGTGGAATACTCAGATCTCAGTGAGCAAGTATTTTGTTACACCAACATATACACTGAGTGACAGAAACTACCGAGGTATCTACATTTTAATGCAAAACAATGCAACACTAGTAAATCCTAGCTTTGTGAAACGTAATAATTGGAGTTGACACTGAGTTTTTGTAGTTAGTGGTGGACCCCTGAATGTAAATTACATTCACAATATATTAAGAATTCCTTCTTATATAATACTTAGCAATACATTTCAACACGGTAAAGACTAAAAAAAAGAAAAATAACAACTGAAATAGAAGTATGAAAAAATAACTTTCACGTAAGGTTTTATTACATTTCTAATTTTATTGTAAATCATGTGTAAAGATTGGAGATTTTATTCAGGAAAACATTATCATACCGACCTACAGAATACAGGACTTCATTACATGTCTGAACAAAATAAGTATAACTGTTTGATGTGCTCAGGGACTTACTATTTTCTCATCTTTTTGATCAAACAGGAGAGAATGACCTCCCTGGCACTGAACCTGCAGAGTCTCCCTCCAAGACATTCGATCAAAGCGAGAATGAAAAACTGTCGTCCCTTCACAGCTGCTCAGTTTGTGGGAAAGACTTCCCGTACGCCTCTAAGCTTCAGCGACACCTACGCACTCACTCAGGCGAGCGGCCCTTCCCCTGCTCCATGTGTGAGAAGAGGTTTCCAGAGAAGGGCTTGCTAATGATCCATGAACGGGTCCATACCGGGGAAAAGCCCTTCCCATGCACTTTCTGCGAGAAGAGATTTGCCAGTCAGGGTGAGCTCAGGCTGCACCGGCGGACACACACAGGCGAGCGGCCGTACCACTGCTCCATCTGCCTGAAGAGCTTCTCCCGACACTGGCATCTGAAACGCACTTAGAGGCGATGCACTCTGAGGTTGTAGCGGGCTTCGTGAGGAAGAAGTTCCCGTGTTCGGACTGCGATAAGAGCTGTAACTCAGCCGCCGAGCTGAGAGATCATCAGAGGACTCACACCGGAGAGAGGCCCTACCAGTGCTCTTTCTGCGACAAAAGGTTTGCCTTGTCGGGAACACTAGTGAGACACGAGCGTCTGCACACCGGCATCACGCCCTACCACTGCTCCGACTGCGGGAAGACGTTCGCTCAGCAGTGGACTCTGACCACACACATGCGGACTCACACGGGGGAAAAACCCTACAGCTGCACACAGTGCGATAAGTCCTTCGTAGCTCCTGGAGAGCTCCGCAGGCACACCAGGATCCACACGGGAGAAAAGCCGTACACCTGCAAGGACTGCGGGAGGCACTTCTCCCTGGCAGGAACGCTCAGAAACCACAGAAGATCGTGCACACTGAACAAGGATGTGTCAGTTACAGGGGACGTCTCAGAGCCAGTTCAAGTAGATGGAGAAGCACCCCAGCAAGAACCGCCCAACAACACCAGCCCTGAGGTAGAGATGATACACAGCTATAACATCTCTGTCAGTGATTTATACATAGCTCCTAAACCTCCTATCTAGGGCTAATCCATTTGGAAATGATTACCAATTGCGATGATTTTTGACTGATTGCAATTGTGATATGATTTACAATATTGCATCATAATCCTCATTATCATTGAAGAAAATAGATCTTGGTTTGAGGAGGATCTGTTTAGTTAAGTCTGTAGATTTGTATGCAGGGCTATCTCTGCAGCTTCAAAATACTTTATTCAAAAGGGTATTTTAACACATATTTAGTCTTTAACAAATATTATGTCCATTTTGAGATTTCGATGAAATAACCCCTTAATTATGCAGCCTTACTCCTAACATGATGTTGCCTCTGTTCTTATGAAATTGTCTTCATAGGTGGCTGACAGTCAGAGTTTGCCCAGTGCAGGTGAGCCGCGCGCCTCAGAGGATCTAACCTGTGACAAAGCAGCTCCTCGTGAAACTAAACTGCGAGAACCAGAAGACCGACCAGAGGACAGGGCCGCCAGTCCGCATATGAATGTAATAGTGAAGGAGGAGGAAGAGGAGGAACCTTTGTGTGGTACATAAACATGAGATTACACATTTCTCTCACTATCATTGTTTATCTTAAAGATGCCTGAGGTCTCAAACATCATCAGAATGAAATACAAACGGTGTTCCTACTTTCAAGCCATTGATCAGTGCCTTGGTGTGCAATTGTATCAGTAAGTATTTTATATTAAGTGTTACGGTTTAAAGCAAACAAGACATTTACTCTGACCATCTGTACTTAAAGGTAGGGTAGGTAAGAATGGAGAAACCAGCTCGAGTGCGCGAGAATTTGAAAGTACGCAGCCGAAAAAAATCTGCCCCTTCCTTCAGACTTCCTTACAGAGCCCCTCCTCCAACACACACGAACGCGCACATGACCAATGAGGGCACGAGATAAGTTTGTGCACAGATGGAAGGCTGACAGGCAGGTAGGCCATCCAGTTATTTTAGCCGGGCCGGCTCAGATGATTGGTCGTGCTTTATACAGTATTACTGCTTCCACAGATGACATATTTGTATGTATTTATTGTCAAAGCATTTAATATATTCATTGCTATCGGGATGTTAAGAGCATTCCATGGAATATAACAAAAAGTGTTTCTGAAGTGAATTACCTACCCTACCTTTAAGTTCAGTGTTTTATTCAATCATTACACGTAGACAGGATTAACATCCAGTGCCACTTTTTTACATTCCCAAACAAGAGATGATTAGATAATCATGTGATTGCATGAAGGTACCTGAATGCACCATGTCTGACAGTTTGCACACAGAATAGAGATGCAACGTTGTAACAATCATCTTATATTTTAAGCCTAGTTACCGTTGAAAAAGTTCGGGAGCTATTGTGGTAATTTAACTAGGCAAAGAGAGTGGCTGATACATTAAGAGTGTCCTCGAAATAATAAAGTTCCCCCCCCGAACTAAAACCTAGACAGAGTCAGTCTGACATCTCAAAAACAGTTTAATTAGCCCAAACACATTCAACACCTCCAACAAAAGTACAAACACAAATTACAACTGGAGTAATTCTCCGGCAATGTCCAACTTAGAATGCAGTCTTCTTGATATGGCTGAATAATCCCGATGAAAGCAAGAATAATAAGTCACTCCACAAAAAGGTAATCCAATTCAACTGCCAAAAGAGGAAAAATCTCCAAAAAGAAGGGACTCACTGGTCGCCGAAAAAGTGAAATAATATTCGTAATCTCTCTGGGCTTGTGATGCGAGTCCATGCTGGTCCTCGGGCTCTTTGAGTGTCAGCTCCTAAAGCAGCCCTACAGTATCCCCAACCTCCTCCACCAAAACCTTTTCTTTTCCCCCCCTCAACAAACAATTCCCTCTCCCTTTGTTCCCCTTTCCCTCACCTGTATCCAATGCACACCTGATTCCCCTGTCACTCCCTGAGGGAAAGCAGGAGGGGAGAGAAGGACCCACTGCATAGTAGTGATGGCGAGATGAAGCTTTCCAGCCAATTGGTTCGCAAAAGGGTTCATCTCATGAGGCTTCATCATGGGCTTCATTTGAACACAAACCCCCCCTGTTGGTCAAAGTGTGTAAAACAGGCAGATTGGACATCTCAACAGTGTGCTCGATCTCATACCGAGTTCCCAATGAGTAAAGCCTTAGAATAACTCTAAACAACGAACATAAAATCATATGTTCATGTTAACAATATTGTTTTTATTCCAGTTGAATGATTGTGATTGAAAAGCCTAAGGAGGCTGGTAAACATTGCAAAGAGGGATTTGTATTCCTTAATCATATTCATAAACGTAACCATGTTGTAGCCTGAGAAAGGCTCAACCCTATCAAAGAATACATTTATTAACTACATTATCTCATTTAGCTGTAGCTTTTATAAACAAAAACAATACATATTGACCAGTCGTTGAACCAGGGACGCTGCGGTCGTGAGTCAACTGCTTTCCAGCTGAGCCACAGCACACACACTGAATCCATCTGAAAACACTGAAGAGTACTTATTCCTGTATTTATTCATGTTTTTATTCCTACATTTATTTATGCTTTCATTTATTTATACTTATGACATGTTCCGACCTCTATATAAGTGAGGGTCTGAGCTCTCTTAATTCCATCGTGTCACTGGGCCCGGGTACAGGAGGGGTAATATATCGTTCTTATTATACATCCATGGGTATTATGAGCGTTGTGGTTCAACCAATCTGAAGCAGTCACGTGGTATTGAGGGGCAGCGAGGCTTCGTTTGTCATCGATGACGTCACTGGCCCAAAACGATACAAGCCTCGATATTACAAGCTTCACAAAAAGCTTCGGGGATTACTCGACACACACTCCGAAGCCTCGGCGCAATACGTAACATCACTACTGCATAGTAAGGACAGCAGTATATTTCTACAGTGATGGCTCTGTCACAACGTTTCCACATTTCTCTCCAAATAGCTATTCTGATACCACAATCAAAACACTAAACACTTGAATTATTAAAATGTTGATGGTTTTAACATGTAGGTGTTCTCTTGTGTTTTTAGAAGAAGCTCCTGAGCAGCTTTCTAGCAGTGAGGATTGCACCATGCAGGAGGAAACTGAGGAGCAGCGTCACGAAACCAACACTGAAATTAGGATAACAGTAAAGGAGGAAGCAGAGGAACTTGTTAACAGTAAGGGAATTAAGTGAATTTCAATTGAAATAGCTAAGACCTTGGGTGTTTCTCAATGTCGAGGACGCTTCCTTGGTAGGACATGTCCCTCCGAGTCAGGTCCTTCAGAAGCGAGGCAAGAATCCTTCCTAGCCTCGGAAAAAACGAAGAATGGTGGAACAGGCTAACAGGTGTGCGTCATATGCGAGGCCCCGCCTTAAATGGAGCGCGATTTCCGCCAAAGATTTTGGACATTGGTCCGTGCGTGCGCAAAGCATTGTGGGGATTTTAAGACCGCGGAGGATACACATGTGCAGCCTCGAAATTTCCCGCAACGAAGTACGCCGGGCCTCGGTAGAATTCCAAGGATCCTGGACATTGGAACAGTCCTTTGGCGGGACTCGATGATGTAGCATCCTTGAAATAGTGGCTCTGGAGCAGCCTTCCTCGACATTGAGAAACACCCCTTGTCTTGTCTTTAATTCATTTGACTGGGACCTTGTTCTAGTAAATGAATTGGATTCATACGTGTTTTTCCTGACTGAATTCAGCCCACCCTTTTCTCTTTTTACCCTCTGTTCTTTGATGCTGAGTCTGCATCCACACTAACCTGGGGTATGCTGGAAATACTGATAGTATGAAATGCAGTGTCCAATGTCAAGTGATTTTCTTTAAAGATTTCTGTCACACACAAACCTGTCATCACAGAGTCGGTTGGTTTAAAAAAGTGTTAAGGAGTTTAAATCCTGGTTATTTTGGAAAGGATAGGAAAAATGTAATTTATTTTAGATTAAGCTAGTTAAGTAGCAGGCTTCTCATTTTTAGCCAATCTTTTATTTGGCAGGATCATTCCCTGCAACTTCATTCTGAGTTCAAATACATCCTTGGCTTTGGTCTGGAAGATTTGCTTTTTATAAGCTGTTTTTATACTGTGTTTGTCTCACGACCAAAAGGTGGTTTCTAAGAAAAAGTGGACTGTGTCTTCTTTCAGTTCACTCTGACTGACTCTTTGCTGTCTCTGACTGGTTTGAAAATGAGAACCCTGCACTTGTGGTTAGTGTTGATTTTATATTTCTTCTTAAGGCTCCTTCATTTCGAAACCATTTGACCACCTATGAATATTTTGACTATGAAAAACATACACAAGCAAATATTCCTTTCGGGTATTACTAAACTGTGTAACCTTGCATCTTCTGTGATAAACCTTTTATTTCTATTTTATATCAGTGGAACACTCCTGAGATGGTTGTACCCGTTAAGATAGATAAATGAGGGATGCAGTATTCTTTTCTAAAACTTTACTATATAATGTCCGAAAGTACAAAAACAATTCTATTCACTAAGATGGTGTCTTAAAATGTGTTGTTTTTTAAGTCCAAATATTTTTGTCTTTGTCTTATATGATATCAAATAGAAAAATACGAAAATCCTGATAATTGAGAGGCGGAAAACTGCATTTTATTGCCAATTATTTTTCTGCCGATCCACCAATCACTGCAGCTTTTGAGCCGCCTGTCCTAGGTGGCTCGAGACATTTGGTGCTGCTTTATTTGCCCTTACATAAACTCACATGCACTTCCCTGCTTGACTGGACTTGAATTCACACAAATGAGTTGAAGGCTACTAAGAGGATCATTTGTTTTCATCTACTTTTATCTCTTTTCAATCTCGTGTCATGTTGTTGGGAGCCGTGTCTTACCGTCCACAAGGTTCAAATAAGTTATTTTTTCAATCTTGCCTTTTTTTTAACTCGTCATTTCTGTTTCCACAGTGTCTGGAGAGGATCCTGAACATGACTCAGACAGCGGTGGGGAAAGTCCTCCTGGCTCCCCGGGGCAGGAACAGGGTGACGATCTGACGAAGAGCTCGTTCTGCTGCGGGCTCTGCGGCAGAGACTGTTACAAGATGTCCGCTCTCCAGATCCACATGCGCATTCACTCTGGAGAGAAACCTTACCAATGCTCTCTGTGTGGGAAGCAGTTCACCCAGAAAGGTCAGCTCAAAGGTCACCTGAAGGTCCACACGGGAGAGAAACCGTTCTCCTGCCCCGACTGCGGGAAGAGCTTCGCCCACTCGGGAGCGATGAACCGCCACCGGCTCACACACACCGGGGAGCGGCCGTACCACTGCTCCGTCTGCGAGCGCAGCTTCAACCAGTCGGGCCGCCTGAGGGAGCACGAGAAGATCCACTTTGGGGAGAAGTTTGACTGTCCCCAGTGTGAAAAGAGTTTCACGAGAGCGTCGAGCCTCAAGAACCATTTCAGGCTCCACACGGGGGAGCGGCCGTACGGCTGCGACGTCTGCGGGCGAGGATTCAGCCGCTCGCAAAGCCTCCGCCTCCACAAGCGCAAACACCAGCAGACACACACCGAGGAGGACTCTGCGTTCAGTGAGAAGAACGAGGACTTATCACAGAGTGACGACAACTCCCCAATTAATATGTGTTTAGCGGACAAAAATGACTGATAATGTATTTATATAAACCATAGAGATATGTACCAGTAGTAGTATGATTATACAACGATTTAAGGCAGTGAAACATGAGCGGAAAGAAGGGAAAGTAAGGTTGAACTTTCACATGAAAAGCTAAAATATTTAACTCCCTGCAATTAACAACACACACTTGTCAGGTGGTGTTCAGCAACTAACTACAGACAAACTGACCAAACTAATATTTACTACAAACACTTCCGTAGAAATCTTGGAAACTGTTCTGATGATACATTTTAGAGGACGTATTTACTCGCTTTTATCACACTCACCTATGTTAGTTGCGTCAAAATATCACTCTCCATTTAGAGTATTTATTGTAGTTCAAAAATCAAATTTAAGGTCTGTGATTTCAATTATTTCCTTGCAGTACTTGCCATTCAAAATAATGATGTATGTGGTAATTGGATTAAAGAGTAATTATGTTTTTGCATCAGACGTTACCAAGGCCAATGAGCAGTCTACGAATCAGGTGAAACTGGAATTCGTTCTTTGATTATGAGCTACCAAAATATTAAAAGATGTAAATGAAGCAGTGAGATTATAATGTTCATCTGATTGTTTGCCAAAACCATTTTTGCCTTATTGTTGATTTATCTGTGTCTCTGTTTATGCTACTCAACAACCACGTTATGAGTCAGGTTCACCTGGTTTGGGAAAGTCTTAAGGCCAAGTAACTATTGTGAAAAAGAGAGTCATCCTATAAGGCTGTGAAACAGAAGGGTATAACTTCAAACCATGTCGATGGTAAATGTTGCCCAGTGCTGCCTCTGTCTAACTGTATTGGACATGTTATACTGAAGAATAAAAGTAAAAGTACTAATGGCTGTTTGCATATTTCTGACTGGAGGAGTTTATGTACTAGAGGTACAAATACGCCTACAACAAGTCCTTCATATTTAATATATCAAATAGTATAAATGCTCATTCTATTCAAAGGTGTACTGCAAAGGTAGTGCTATAATTAGTATTAAGCCAAACTGTTTACTCTAGGTAGTTTTCTAACTAAAGTAATACATTGTTTCAACCAATCTTACCTGGTTTCAACTCATCTTAAGCTAGTCCCTTTTCTGCTGGAGGTCAGGTAGTTTCTCCTAGAGAAAAAGTCATCTGTGAAATTAAGTAATTGATGTTTGACCCCCATTGTAGTATATTTGCCTGAACCCACGCTGACATCTGCAGAAATGAGAACAAAGACATATTGGGGGCACATGAACAAGGTATATGTAATTGTTTGTGAGAGATAGTTACAACATATAGATACAGCAAAACTAGTCAGTTCACATTAAATGGTTTTATAAAACAGCCAAAAATATGCCAGAAATAGGTAGTCTACATTATATTTTGCCAGGCTATATGAAACACTTTAAACACATATTTTAGCAATATATGTTTGGAGCAATGATACATTTGACCATACAGGTTCCCAAAAGCTACTCACATTTGACTGTTGCTTTGCAGGCTTTCACAAAACGTGAGCTTCCCCTGAAGGCAGCACTGTGGCCAGGGGACACCTGATTTAAAATCAAAACGATAAGTAAACAAGACCAATCATACATTAGTACTCTCTCTATAGCATAACGATGACGACATAAGAATAACATGATCTTTGGAGTTAAATGTACTTTCGGAGAATCCGACATGGAGATAGTAAAGGGTTCTTCAAACGGAAGTTCCGTAAATTCTCAATATGCAAAGGGAGTTGAAGGAAAAGAAAGAACTACTACCAGTATGGCGCATAGTCCAGAATTATTTTGCAAGATATTACTCAGACTCAACAATCATATTTACAGATGGCTCCAAAGATCCAGAGACAGAGTGCAGGGGCAGCAGTTTATATCCCAGTGAGTAATACACATATAAAGAAAAGGGTAACAGACCATGTGTCAGTATACACCACAGAGTTGTTGGCATGGGTATTGGCATTGAAATGGATAGAGGAGAAAGAAATACATAATAGTGTAATCGCATCTGACAGCTTTTCAGCATTATCAAGTATACGATCAGGCAGATCTTCATTTAGAATGGACATAATAAATGAAATATTTCTAATTTGATATAAAATGCAAATCAAAGGCATAGCAACTCGTTTCATCTGGGTTCCTGCTCATGTTGGTGTGGAGGGTAATGAACAGGTGGATATTCTGGCCAAACAAACACTCAGAATTATGAACATAGAAGTTCCACTTAGCAAAGCGGAGGTTAAAACATTCATACATAAATATGCACAAACAACATGGCAAGAACATTGGGACCTTAGTGATACAGGAAGACATCTTTATACAATTCAAAGGTATGTGGGGGATGGAAGGAAGGTGGGGTTTAAAAGAAGGGAGGAAAATGTCATTTCTCGGATGAGAATAGGTCATACAGGGCTCAATCATACATTAAAGGGGACCTATCATGCAAAATGCACTTTTGTACGTCTTTTATACATGAATATGTGTCCCCGGTGTTCCAGGGAACTCACCAAGTGTCAGAAAACACAACCCTCTCTATTTTCCTCCATACCCAAATCTCTAAAAAAAGGGGCTGCAACGGATCTGATAAAAACTGATCCAGATTTGAACACTGTCCTGACGTCAGGACGGTGGCGCTACGGCTATTGGGCCAACTCCACCAATCAGGAGGAGATAGCCACGGCCATTGCCGTTCGAAAGCGCTGGAGACACTGTAGTACATATGCCAGGCCTCTAGAGGGTGCTGTTCTCACTGAATCTGCCCTTGCTAAAACAGAGCTAGAAATGGTCAAATTGAGCAAAATGAGGCATGGCTAAAATGCATGATCTGTTTGGTATTTTGAGAAAAAAAAAGTATAAATATGCCTTATGGTCCTACACTATATTATTCAAATATAGCATGATAGGTCCACTTTAAGTAGAATAGGAAAGCATCCAACCGGATAATGTATACACTGTAGCCAGCCAGAAATGGTTGAGCATGTTTTACTGCTTTGCAGGAAATATAGTACTCAGAGAAATGTGCTTTTCCAGACACTGAAGAAAGCAAAATTCCATGACTTGTCGCTATCAGGGCTGTTAGGGAAAACATCAGGCAATATGTATTGTGAGATTATTGCGTTTCTAAGAGAAATTGATACATTTAAAATAATCTAGAGTTTTGGTTCTTTTTTTGTTTTGTTTTGTTTTGTTTTATTTCTTTGGTTTATTGTTTTCTGCATAGTCTCTTGTCCACAATTTATGATGAATTGGAAATGGGGGACCCTGATGTAAACAAGACGAAAGTCTTTCTCTGGTCTGCATCCCCTTAACAATTGTATGTTTTGAGCTGTACTGTACTGTACCCAATATACAAGCTGTTAATAAACTTTTCAATCAATCAATCAATCAATCACACTCCAGTCCAGTTGGTGGCGGTAATGCACCTACAAGTTGGTTTGCCAACCGCCAATAAACACCGAAGAAGAAGAAGAAGAAGTTCCGTAAATTACGAGGTGCAGTGAACGGGACATGAAGATAAACAGACGCACATCATGCAGCAGAAGAAGGTTAGCAACGCTACGGATTATTTAGCTAACGATACATGTATTTAAAGGGGACATTTTCCTCCGTATGCTGCATATTTTCCGTCTCTAAGACTCTAATAATATCCAGGTAAGCGTTTCTGATGTTAATGCCCTTGTCAGCTCACGTTAGCTAAAGTTACACAGCTGTTAAAGTTAGCTAATGCTAATAACCGTTGCTACAACAACGTCTAGGGCGACTAACGGTCAGACATTAACGGCTTCTTGTAACTATGATATTGTGTCAGCAGTAACAGCATTTTATTAAGTGGTCAAATGTCTCCCTGGTGAACTTTGACATTCACATGTTTGTTCTGTGCAGCTAAAGTTAGCCACATCATATTGAACAGAATGTGCAACAGGCCATATCAGTGTGGGCCTCTTGGTACCTGAATGTTACATAACAACAACCAGAGGTGGAAGAAGTACTCAGATCTTGTACTTAAGTACAAGTACAAAAGTGTTAGCATCAAAATATACTTAAAGTTCCAAAAATAAAAGTACTCATTATGCAGATCGGTCCATTTCAGAATAATATATATGATATGTTTTATAATTATTGATCATTAAAGTGTTATCAAAGCTGATAAAGGTGCAGCTAGTTTGAATGACTTTGTATACGGCAGGGTAGCTTGTGAATTTACTCCAAGTGTAACTAAAGTCTTGATTATAATAGTGTAGTAGTATTATATAGTGTTGATTATATTTCACATTATTAATCCAAATTTTCAAAGTAACTAAAGGCATGAAATATATGTAGTCGAGTATTAAAATGAAACCATCAAAATGAAACCATCAAATCAAAGCAACACTCATTTTCACTTCACTCGTTCTTATGCATACTTCTCCCCCTGAAATCCAAACAACAGGAAATGATTCTGGCCATCTGACTGACCTTTGATCTGCTCTCTCGCTCTCTCTTTCTGCCTCTCATGTGTTCAGGCGCTCACTTTGACGAACACACACTCTCAGGATGGTGTCGTACAAGCTGCTGAACCCTGAAGATGTGCAGTTTTCCAGTGCCGTTCTGTCCGAAGAGCCGGTCCGGGAAGAAAATCCAGTGAGTTTATTTCTACTTCTTCCTCTGCCTCACAGTTTTTTAAAGTGCAAATGGTTGGTTCCTTTCTGTGATTTAAATCCTTGCTGCAGAAACGTCCTGCTCTTTCTTCTGGCTGCTAATGTTTTGTGGCATATTTTACATACTACATGCAATGCTCTCATTATTTGAGATAGTTTTATCTTCCTAAACGCTGAATGTCCTTCCCTACTTTCAGCTTCTCAATTGTGAGAATTTGCTGCTTTTCTTTGACCTAAGTGATAGGAACTAAATGTTTGTTGGTTTTGGACTGTTAGCTGAAAAAAACAGGACATTTGAAGACAACAAGCTTGACTTTAAAGGGCCCATGTCATGCTTTTTCGGTCATTACCTGTCCCCTTGTGTGTTATGTAGCTTTTTCTGCATGTAAACGGTCTGCAGAGTCACAAACCCTCAAAGTACACCCTGTAGCGAGTAAAACTCTAACACAGAAAAGACCTGTCTATGCTGCCCCAGAACGCCTCGTTGGAGATTTCTCTTTTTTCATTGTTTACTTCTTGGTTATAGTGACGCATTTCGGGTATAGTGACGTTACGTCCGCGGAGCCGTTACGTTTGGACCAATCCGTGGACCTCCTCACACACACACACACACACACACTCGGCGGGACGTTGCGGTTGCGAGGCTCGCTGCTGCGAGGAGCGGGACACTGTGAGCTGGCTCACTGGTGTGGGGACAGCGAGACACCGCGGAACTCAGCCTGGGCACAAACACAAACTCCCAGCCAGGCTGCGGGTGTGTGTTTCGGGCTGGGTTTCGCTGTGTCTCGCTGTCTCGCAGACGGCCACTGGGCTCACAGGGAGGGGGCGGCAGGCTGTTTAGGACAGAGAGTGAATACACATGCTATACAGAGATGCTGTATGAGAAACCAATGTGAGTTTGGAAAATTGCACAATATAAATCTATTTTAGTAGACTTCAACGATGGAATTATGATCAGTAGAAATGGCCATGACATGGGACCTTTAAAGAAGTTGGACATTGAATTTTTCACAATTATTTTCAATTTGAAGAACAAATAAGTGATTGGTCAAGAAAATAATGAATGATTTATAAAAACAAACCAGAACTCACAGCCATAGTTTGTTTCTGTTATGATTCAAGAAGATGTTTTCCAGTAAATCAATGCAGAGCTGATAAAAGTGTATCCAGGTTCGACCTGTTGTCTTTGAAAATGTTTTTAAGTTGCACTTTAGACTGC